TTCCCTAGAGGACACTGAGGGGAAGTCTTCACAATAAGCATGCCCTGGCCCAGTGACACAGAATTGCCCCACAAAAAAACGTGGCCCCAGCCCCATTCTCTTGGCTCCGTCTCTCTCCTCTCTGCCTCCCAGGCTGTCAGGACCAACTCCGTCATTTCCTTCTTGACCCTCCCCACTGAGTATTTCCACCAGCTGAGGCACTGCAGTGGACATTTGGAAGAAAAACGAAAAACAGGCTGAGTCTATTCCCTACCCAACACCAAGAGACCACCACTGCATATCCACTCCCCCTAAGTACGGGACGAACAGACGGATGCTTTGGTGACTGAAGTATCCAGGGTTGGCACAGGCTGGTAAATGGGGTATGACGTACAGCACACAGAAACCGAGGGAAGGCGTCCCTGGTACCAAAGCTTTGAGGGGAGCACCCTTTGCAGAGGGAGCCACAGTAAGTGTCTCCCAGGGCATGTGTGGCTGTGCCTTCCCCTCTCTCTCTCTGCCTCTGAGCCTCCTGGACTCTCTGTGTGTGTGTGTGTGTGTGTGTGTGTGTGTCTGTGTGTGTCTGTGTGTGCACGTGCGCACACAGATGTCTGTGCATGCATGTGTGCATGCACGTGTATGTGCAAGTGCACGTGTGCACACGTGTGTGTGTGTGCGCACGTGTGTGTTTCTCTTTCCCTCTTTTGCAGAAGGGACCAGTCATGTTAATTTTAGTACCAGCAAGAGTCAGTGGATGTTGATTAAAACAACTCTGAGATCCGGTCAATGGGGCAGCAGTGGTAGCGGCCGAAGTGAGAAATCAGTCTGACAGTCTGAGTGTGCCTCAATCTCTCTTTCTCACAGGATGGTGAAGTAAGATTTCTTCAAAACTGATACCACAAAGACGATGTCTCCTTTATCTTCTCCCGAGGAAGGGAGAGGTGGCAATTTCTCTGGCTGTGCTCACATTATTTCTCTGTGGTGCCCCAGGAGCTGGGGCTTCCCTAACCTGGAAGATAAATCAGGGAGATCTGTTCCCAGAGAAAGCGGCAGCTGTCCCCCTGCTGACAGGCTCTGTTTTTGCTTCATTTCACTTCCTGCCTAACGTGTGCTGGGATGACAAGGATCAGCTGCTTTGGAATTCCCAAGCCTTCGAGTACCCGCTCGCTCCCCTCGCACTCACCGGATTCCTCATACAGGAGAGGGGGATGGGAGCCACATGAACCAAGGTGTGAATCTTCATGCTGTGGCCACAACCCTGTGGCCTTGGGCACATCCCTTAAGCTCCTTGAAAGTGTTTCCTAATCTGTTCAATAAAAACAAGGAATAAGCCGGGCACAGTGGCTCATGCCTGTAATCCTAGCACTTTGGAAGGTGGAGGCAGGCAGATCACTTGAACCTAGGAGTTTGAGACCAGCCTGGGCAACATGGTGAAACCACATCTCTACAAAAAATACAAAAATTAGCTGGGAGTGGTGGTGCACCTGTAGTCCCAGCTACTCAGGAGACTGAGGTGAGAGGATTGCTTGAGTCCAGGATGTCAGTGGAGGTTGCAGTGAGCCGAGATCATGCCACAGCCTAGGTGACAAAGTAAGACCCTGTCTCAAAAAATAATAACAATAGACGGGGCGCGGTGGCTCACACCTGTAATCCCAGCACTTTGGGAGGCCAACGCAGGTGGATCACCTGAGGTCAGAAGTTCGAGACCAGCCTAACCAACATGATGAAACTCCATCTCTACCAAAAATACAAAAACTAGCTGAGTGTGGTGGCAGGCACCTATAATCTCAGCTACTCAGGAGGCTGAGGCAGGAGAATCACTTGAACCCAGGAGGCGGAGGTTGCAGTGAGCTGAGATTGTGATTGCACCACTACACTCCAGCCTGGGCAACAAGAGTGAAACTCCACCTCAAAAAAGCAAAAAATAAACATAATAATAAAAATAAGGAAGATGAAACATGGGTCCACTGGAGTTCATCTGTGGACAAGACACTGAATGTATAGAGACTGCTCAGTGCACAGTGTGCTCACAACACAAGCAGATAGTCAAAGTCAGCCTCAACAGCACAGTGCTGCTATTACTGTGGCTACTCCTACGAGTCAGGCTCGAGAGATGCAAACCGAAGCCAGTCTTGTTCCCTAATGTGATTAAGGGCTTGATTTCCTCTGCACTTTGCCAGACACAGTGTGGGTCTCCACAAGGAGGAGGCAAGCAGCCAGTATAGAACCAGCCTTCTACCAGCAGGCACCTTCATCTGCATGATGCAGCAGAGCCCTGCTTGAGCTCTGCAAGGTACATTGCTTAGAGCCATTCTTCAGGAATACTGACATTTGGGTTCTGCCAGCCTCCAGAAACCCATGCATGTCCTGCACAGTGCTTGGGAACTCAACAGGTGCTTAGGAAATGTTGACTGGAAAGTTGGGTGTAGTGACTCACGCCTGTAATCCCAGCTCTTTGGGAGGCTGAGGCGGGTGGATCACCAGGTCAGGAGTTCAAGACTGGCCTGGCCAGCATGGCAAAATTTCTTCTCTACTACAAGTACAAAAAATTAGCCAGGCATGGTGGTGCACGCCTATAGTCGCAGCTCCTCGGGAGGCTGAGGCAGGATAATTGCTTGAACCCAGCAGGCAGAAGTCGCAATGAGCAGAGATCATGCCACTGCACTCCAGCCTGGGAGACAGAGCAAGACTCCGTCTCAAAAAAAAAAGGCCGGGCACGGTGGCTCACGCCTGTAATCCCAGCACTTTGGGAGGCTGAGGCGGGCAGATCACGAGGTCAGGAGATGGAGACCACTCTAGCTAACACAGTGAAACCCCGTCTCTACTAAACATACAAAAAAACTTAGCCGGGCATAGTGGCGGGCGCCTGTAGTACCAGCTACTTGGGAGGCTGAGGCAGGAGAATGCCGTGACTCAGGAGCAGAGGTTGCAGTGAGCCAAGATAGCACCACTGCACTCCAGCCTGGGGGACAGAGCAAGACTCCGTCTCAAAAAAAAAGAAAAAAAAAAGGAAATGTTGATTGGAATAGTAAGCGATTAATTCTAGCTACATAGACAGTGCTCACGTGCTAGCTCCTAGCACAGTGCGAGAAGCCAGAAATCATATCAAATATGAAAGACACAATCCCTGCCTTCATGGAGCTTTCAGGCTATACCAAGATTTCCAGAGAAGCAAGCACACACACAGGACATGTCCATAAGCGAGGACATTTGGTGATGTCCAGGTTGCCTTGGCGGGCTGGCAGAATCTGAGGAACAAGAGGAAAGGTTGGACCACATGGGATGTGAGAGGCCCCAGCACGACAGCACACAAGAAACCCTGGAAATCATCTCGGTCAATGTCTTCACTGAAGAGCTGAGAAGTAAGGCCTAGAGAAGTAAAGTGACTTGCCCAAGATCACTCAGCCAAGACCTGCAGATGCAGAGTGAGAAGCAAATCTCCATGAGAAGGGTGCGCTGGGCATAATGCCTAGAGGAGGAACTGATCCTTAAACTGGTAGGTGCTGGAGCATTGTCCGTCGAAGGTGGCATGACTGGAAGCCCAGAAGAGCATGTAATTACCACACCTCCTGAGTGCTGGTTCTGAGAGAATTGGTTGTGTTCCTGTAATCTCCAACAACGCTGTGAGATACGAACTCACCTAGAAACGAGTACACAGCAAAGCCCAAGTACGCCCAAGCCATGCAGGAGTCAGCAAGAGACAGAGCTGGGATAGGAGCCCAGGCACTGCCTCCGGAGCCTTTGTTCTTTTATGTTTGTTTGTTTGTTTTGTATTGTTTTGTTTTGTTTTGTTTTAATTGAGATAGAGTCTTGCTCTGTCACCCAGGCTGGAGTGCAGTGGCGTGATCTCGGTTCACTACAACCTCCACCTCCTAGGTTCAAGCGATTCTCCTGCCTCAGTCTCCCAAGTAGCTAGGATTACGGGCAACTGCCACCACGCCCGGCTAATTTTTGTATTTTTAGTAGAGACAGGGTTTCACCATGTTGGTAAAGCTGGTCTCCAACTCCTGACCTCAACTGATACCCCGGCCTTGGCCTCTCAAAGTGCTGGGATTACAGGCATGAGCCACCACACCCAGCCCTGGGCCTTTGTTCTTAACCACTAGTCTACCTTGCCTTTGAAGAATTATGTGATGAGAAAGACTGGAAGCAGAGCCATAGGATAAGAAGCTTCTAAAAGAAAGAGATGGAAATGGCAGGTTGCTGGAAAACGCAAGGAAATAGAGATGTCCAAGGCATCAATAACATCTACTGCCAGGAGTTGACCAAAACAGCCCTCAGGGCTCAAGTCTTGCTCTTTTTCCCTCAGTAATTTCATCATGTCTCCATGACATCCTTCTCCAGACTGGCTCCCTGTCACAGTGGACAGTGTGTCTAGTTGTGGCCTGAAGCCATAGTATCATTCCCACTAGGCTTAGGGAGTGGGGAGGCAGGCTTCCCTAGAACAGCCCACCCCTGGCCACTTCTCGCCACTCCTTTGCAGGTGAGAAGGCAAACGCCCTCATCTGCAAGATGCCTGTGGGCAGCATCCAGGAAGGCTGTGGACGTTTATCGCTGATGGCACTGTCTTATAGATCCATTAGGACTCAGGCACCTAAAGGTTATGGGAATATGACTGTGCTAATAAGGATCCCAGGGTTACTTCAAGATAGCCTCCTTTTTAATTAATTAGACCAGACCAGACCAGTAAGGAATAGCAATAGTAATTTTAAGACAGAAAGAGAGGCAGGCAGGAAGACAGGCAGACAGTGGCGGGGAAGGGAAAGAGGAAGAGAGGGAAACACGAGGGAGGGATGTGATGTCAAGCAATGACAAATGCTTCAGAGACAAACAGGGTAGCAGGAGAATTCTAGCTCTGAGTCTTCCAAATCTGCGAAGCTTTACGCTTCGGTTCTTTGAACCTGCATCCATGTCTGTGAAATGCCTTGCAGAGTTGGGGGAAGGCTAGAGATAACCCATGTGAGGTCCTTGCACCTCGTAGATCCTCAATATAGGAAAAGCTCCCATTTAATCAGGCTCACCTCCACTCTCCTTCCTCTTTAGGCTCAAAGATGATTAAGATGCTGAAATGACAAAGAAGAGTCATGAACACTGTTCTTCTCCAAGTGACATACCTTCAAAATTTGTTTTTTGTGTGTTTTTCCCCCCCAAGTTCCTTTTGTTTGACTGTGCCCACAGAATCCCTCAGGGAAAGGTCAGCAAAGGTCCAAATGTCAATCGATCATGAACAAAGGGGCAAAGTGCCAAGGACTTGAGCAGTCAAACAATGACTCAAGGTGACAATTCTTTACAGAACAGCAGGACCTGCTCTTGAAGATTCCAAATACAGAAGTTCTACAGTGTGCATGTTCTCCGAGAAAGTTCAGTAAGGTTTTTTTTTTTTGTGGGGGAAGGGAGTTGTTGTTATTTTGAGACAGGGTCTGGTTTTGTTACCCAGGCTGGAGTGCAGTGGCGTGATCATGGCTTACTGCAGCCTCAAACTCCTGGGCTCAAGCGATTCTTCCACCTCAGCCTCCAGAGTAGCTGGGAGTACAGGCGCAAGCCACCGTGCCCTGCTAATTTTTGGATTTTTTGTAGAGAGAGGGTTTCATCATGTTGCCCAGGCTGGAAAGAAAGTTCACTAAGTCTGACAGAGACTCAAGGGTTTATACTGGTCCCTGTCTGCAAAGAGCTTAAAATCTCATTTACAAAACAGGACTATGAGAAATAGTCCATTTAAGGACTAAGTCAAAATATTATCCTAAACAGTAGTAGATGTGCCATATGGAGCTCAGGGAAGCTCCACAAGAGATCAGAGCTGCTTTTCTGGGAGGTCCATGTGTCCCCTGAGAGGTATCTAAGTTGGAAAGAGGGACCGAGACCCTTGGGGTAGGGGTTGGGGCTAATGTCAAAATAAGGAGGATGAAAGGAAATGGCATTTATCAGTCACCAGTCACAAAGAAAACCCTTTTAATTTCCCACTTAATCCCCACGTATCCTCACAACCCCACAGACAGGTCTCATATCCGAAAGTCACAGAAACAGCAGCGTGAAGAGGGCAGGCACCTTGCCCAGTTTGTGTGGCTGAAGAGGGTGGACTTGAACCCAGGTCCATCCGACTGCAAGTCCCCTCGGGGGTCATCATCACACCAGAGCCTGTCTCACTTTAGGATCTGGGCACGTTCTAGGTGCTCTGAGCTCCCCGCTGTCTCGGGGGCTGGGGAGTTGGCCTCCTCGGCGAGAGGAAAGTTTCCACCATGCCACTCTGCTGAACCTGTCCTCTCCCACATCCCACAGCTCCATACATCCCATAATCACCACCTTTGTTCTGACTCCTCTTTAAAACCTGGATTAGCTGGGCTTCCGGGGAGGTCACGCTCCTGACTTTGGAATGCACTTCTGACTTTCTCAGAAGCAGGTCTCTACTCAAGTCACGCAGGCACATCTTGCTAAGTAAACTTTGGCAGCCATCTAGTTTGCCCAAGGACTCTGGGTAAGTCCAAACTGGGGGGATGGGGCGGAGGAAAGGGATGACAACATGAATAGCCTGCGACGGGGAGCAGGCACATCGGCTCTGCTCTGCTGTCACCCAAGCGCCACGGAGGACAGGAATTGTGAAAAACCGGCAGCAGGTGCTCTGGGGGCGCCTCGGAGCTGCCATGGTTCCCTCCTCCACCTGCTTAGAGGACAGATCCCACTTAGGCCCCCTCCCATCAGAACTGGAGGGGCCAGGAGATGGGAAGAATGTACGGGCAATGCTACTATCATCCAGGGAAGGGGAAAGGGCCAAGACAGGAGGAGAAGAAAGGAAAGGGAGAGAAGGAGAAAGAAGGGAGCAGCTACAATAAATACGCAGGAGACATTCAAATTCACTGTATTGAAAACCTGTCAGAAGAGCACTCCAGAAAAGAACCCCGACTTGGGGAACCTGAGTCCCCAGAGCTCTGTGGTAACTGGGTGGCATTACAGCATTCATAGCAAGCCAAGTGTGAAACCACACACACATACACAGACACTGCCGTTTGGGGCACGTGTGGGAATCACTGTATGTTTTCCAAGTGTCTCCATGGTGCAAGTCACAGTACTGGCCCCAGTTCTCCCCTCTAGGCCAGTGGCTCTCAAACCTGAGTGTGCCTAAGCACCACCTGCGGGCTTGCTACAGTGCAGATCCACCCCTGTAACTGCTCAGTAAACCTGGCTGGGGGCAGCGGGGAGGCCGCCTATTTGCCAGGTCCCCCAGGTGAGGCAGGGATGCCCCAGAACTCCCCAGAGAAACCCTGTTTCAGAGGACTTACTGCTCAGAGAGCAAATTGATCTCTCTTTCCAGCATGAGGCCTTGGAGATAAAAATGAGAATATGAGTGATGGTTGCTAAAAGGGAGTAGCAGGAGCCCACGACCTGCCCTTACTGAGCTCCATTCTGTGCTGAGCACAGGCCGGATCCAAACACCCAGGGTCTCCCTTCCTCCCCATCCTCCCCTTGGAAGCAGTTGCTAGAAGCCTGTGCATATGAGCAGCTAAGTCTCCCCAGGGTGCCTTGTCCAAGGTCACTGAACTAGGAAATAGCAGAACTAGGAACTCCCTTTGTCTCAGAGAAAGGAAAATAAGGAAAGGAGCATACTGTATATCATGGAGATGTGGAACAGCTTAGAGGAGAAGGAGGAAATGGAAAAGAAAACAAGGAAAATAAATTATTGAGCACATATGACTTCGCACACTTGGCCACATCCCTTTAAATCCTTCAGTCCTTTACTATGCTATTTCATAGACGAGGAACGGAGGCTCGAAATGTGTCTAGTGATGAAGTATTCCTCTTATAAATAGAAAACAACACGTGAAAAAGGGAGAGGGAGAAAGAAGACAGAGAGAGAGAGAGAGAGAGAAAGAGAGAGAAAGAGAGAGGACACACACCTCTCCCCTCTTGCTATGGCTCCAGAAAGCAGGCCACCTCTGAGCACCCTCCTGGCTCTCACAAACCGTAACACTGAGAGGAAGAACAGACCTCAGCTGTGAGGGAAGGGATGATGTGCAACTTTCCACAGTCACTGGCTAAGGTGGGAAAGAGTTAAGACCAAAATCCAGCACCCCAATTTCTCCCCAAAACACCGTAGAAAACTGAGTGCAACTAGCAACGACACTTCTCACCATGATCGTGGAGGACGTTCCTCTACTATAAATATACAGGCACCCAAGGGGTCACATCCAAAGAAGTATGCATGGTGACAGAGCAATAGCACCTGCTCCAGCAGGCACAGTCCAGCCCAGGGTCTCACACACACACACACACACACACACACACACCCCTGGAGGCCAACCAAGACTGCAGGGCGAGGGAAGGCCAGGTGGCAGGTCAAAAGTAAAAGATCAGTAGGCTTCTCGCAGGTGGGAAGGGTACCACCAGGGATGTGAAGGAAGGGAAGGATGGGCAAAAGCCATAAAGACGATGAAAACCTCCTTTGGGGGAAGAAGAGGATCACACAACGAATTGAACTGCCTCACTTCTGTCTCAAACCTGCTTCACAATCAGGCCAAATGTAATACCCACCGCTAACATTCACGGTGCACATTTCAGATCAGAGACATTGCACACCAAGAATTTTAGTGTGGCTCAGACTCTCAACACCCCTACTAGGAAGTTATCAGTCCCATACTTGTGTTACAGGTGACAAAACCATAGCACCAGTCGGATGGGTGGGAATAAGATGAACTGAGATTGAGGATCCATAGCCCAAGCTCTTAAAGTTTTAGCTTCAGCTGCAACCATCCCTGATCTCTGGACATGGTTGATGTGTCATTCACTGATTCTCCTCTGGGCTTCTGTACCTGCTGTTCCTCTAACTGTTACCCGCCTTGGTGAACTTCTACTCATCCTACAAAGCCCTTCTCCTCCTCTTGTGCAGCCTTTCCCAATCTTCTCATTACCCCCTTGCGACTCCCAGCTAAATCCACTGCTGCTCCTTCCCCCGTGCTCCCATGGCATCATGACATTATCAAATTTAAATCCTAAGCCTGTCACCTCTACTGTGTCATTCACTCTAGCACTGCAACCCAGATGCAGAAATGCATGTCCTAAAAGCATGCAGGCTGTATTTTCTCCATAACCCTAGCCCCAAATTGAGCTGCCCTAAGCTTTGCACGTTCCCTTGACTGTCTTACACAAAGCTGTGAGCAGCTTCAGGACAGTAAATACACAGCCTTAAATTCTATGTCTCCCAGATATAGGGTGTTTGGCTGCTTGGCAGCTAGTGGTGCTCAATTAATGTTCATGCTGGGTATGCATCCACTAGACATTTGCTGCACACCTATTGTATGTTAGTCACTGTGCTTGGCCAGAATGATGGAGATGGTTTCTAATGAAGAGATGGCAAAAGATTTCAAAGGAAAAATGGACAACACAGAATCACTGATTCATCGAGGCAGCAAAGTGGAGAAATGGAGCAAAGATTATGTGGGGCAAAGGCCTCCTCTGGGAAGCCCAGGCTCTGAAATCTCCATAGCACATTTGCACCCTGTCTCCATTGCGTACTGTGTACACCAAGAGGGGTATTTAACATTTCTAAGTTTCACCTTCCTCCTCAGAAATTAACAACTCCCTTTACTTCATAGGGCTGCTGGAAGGATAAAATGAGACAATCCACGTAAAGTGCACGCCAGGTCCCTCCCATGCACACACACACAAATGCAATAGATATTAGCTACTATTGCTACTACCTAGTAGCTCAATACATGAAAGTGAAAGCTAGCCACGATGATTTTTCAGCAGCCAAGAATTCCCCTGAAGGATAAACATACTTTTGTGCTTCCAGAAGTTAGAAAGGGTCTCCTTCCTATTCATTTTCCAAATAAGGTTAAGAAAGTGTTACCCTTCAGTTAATTCTAGATGCCAAGTAATCTAGGGCTGTGCTTACCCAGCAGGTAAAAGAGCTGAAGGTAAATCAGGTGTATGTCATGGGAATCTTCAGAAGGCTTCAAGGAGAAGCAGGCATTCAGTCTGAGCCTGCCCGGATTTCTCTAAAACCCTCAGGAGGACACACCCAGAGGCCAGAGGCAGGCCCTTGTCTTGGGACACCATAGGCGCTCCAGGC